TATCGAAAATTTGGCGTCATTGCCTAAAATTTCCACTCGACTAGTGTATTGAAACGGAAGAACTTGGCAGCACTGCATACTTTTCGACAATTTTCGTCGTTTACTTATTTCAGCACGACAGTAGACAATGCTAATGTAGTCGAGTCGTACAATTCAGCCTAATTTACGACTTACGCAATGAGGCTGATAATTTTGGCTCTTCTGTATTATGCCAGCCCGTTGCAAAAACACAATATTCTTTGCACTTCGTAGTACAGTCATGGAAGGACCGCGTATATGGAGCAAAAAATCAAGCTCCAACTGATATATTGTGAATGACTGTAATTTTTTTAGCTATATTATTGTGAATTAGCTACGCTAACTATCGGAGTTCATACGACAAACATCGATTCGTAATAGGGGGTAACAGAGGGAAGGGTTTATCGTGCATTGTACGAACTCATAATAGGCGGGTTACTTATAATATGGTTTTAACCCCAAAACGTCCACCTTATTTGCGTCTATGGTAGCATACTGGCCACGCAGTTATTCAGGGAAAACTCTAAGCCTCCAAGGTACTAGAGTGTCCAAATCCTATGTCATATAGTCAGTGCCCCTAAGTCTGACCTTACTAAAGCAGTGCTACATGCTACTGTTATTTGTAATTAAAAAATTGGAATTGTATTGTATACCGTTTGATTTCTTAATTTTTTTTTAAACATTTATATTGAGTTCACTTTTTTTGCTAATGTTATCATAATATTCTTTGTATTTGTATTTTGGTGCGCAATAGGTGAGAACAGGAATCCGCCAAACAATGGCTGTAACAACCCGAGTCGACGAAGTCAATCACAAAAGTCTCGCCAAAGAAGATACCATGGTTTGGAAAGTGAAGCGTCGGCAAGACGGCACAAGGTATATTGTACGTCGCCCTGCTCGTAATCGCTGCCTGTTACGTGATCGGTCTATACGCATCAATACCGAACATGTTCGTAACAGACATATGTCAACCACTACTGAGGAAGATAATATATCAGAGGTCAAAGTTGGCCGCTATTGGTCAAAAGAAGAACGTAGAAAACACATAGAGCGCGCTCGGGAACGAAAACAGCAACACCAACTTCAAAAACAGCAAATAACTGATGATAATAATCTGTCGAAAGTGTTCGTAAAAGACCAATCTTCTTTGAAACTTGTTCAGCAAAAAAAAACTGGATTGATTCCACAGCGTACAAACCAGAACCGGTTCGCAGAGCATTCGGGAAATCAGACTCAACAACCAAACATCACTACGCCCTTGCAACAACATTACCAACTGCAATTTAACTCGTCTAGAATACAGCATCAAAAACAGGCGAGGTGTGATTCTAATGCAACTACCTGCGCCCCCAATGTTTCGTTTAATGAAAAACAAAGCATATCGCCGAAAGAGCTAGCACTTGAAACAGGTGAAACTGAAACGTGTAGAATATCAGAAATTGGAGCAGTAAGTTCTAAATCGAATTGCCCGGTATTCCCTAGCTCATTAGTGGTGACGGGATCCCAAACGGCTGTTGTCGTTACCAATACTTCCACTTTTCCAGCTGCCGTCGAAAAGAGTGAATTACAAAATTGTATCTCTATTACTACCATATAAAGTATTATTGATATATTTTGGGAGTCTCAGTCTTTCTTCATTCCATTTTCATTTAAATCACTTGTTTTATATCATTGAAAACAAAATTATTAAAAAATAAAGATAATACTAGTCTTGTGAGTTCAATCTATTTTACTCTTTATTCATATAGATTCATTCATTCCCAAAGTGGTCCGGGTGGACCACTACGTTGGCGTGAAAAAAATATAGGGGTCCACGAGTTGTAATTGGGAGTCCACGAAAATTTATCTGGTTTCGATAGTACAGAACCAAAATGGTTGCTTGATAACCTCTTTATTTAGCTTTAATTTGTTTGAGTGTTGTATAGTGCATTTGACACTGCTACACTTACCGTCGTTGTGTCTTCATACGTGGGGAAGCCTTGAATTCCACCTGCATACTAAAAAGAAATGGATGTTGGTATAACACTGAGTGAGGCGAGACGAAATTTGCTAGCGACAAAGATTTGAGCACTTGTGTCTTTTCAGTGCTACAGGATAGTACGCCACCATTACCTTTGGTAAAGAGATTCTATAATGATGAGTTCCCTGAGGCTGAATGCTGGCTTAATTCCAGTACTGAGCCCGGATTCACACATTTTGGAATCTTCACTGATGGCTCCAAAACTGACTCTGGGTCAGGATCTGGAGTCTTTTTCTACGTTAATGGGGATAAGCTTCCGTCTTTCAGGCTGAGGTATGTGTTGGAGGAATTTAAGTGTCTGCAGTGACAGTCAAGCTGCACTTAAGGCATTGGCCAGCCTTCTATTTAAGTACTTCCAAACTAGTTAAACAATGCAAGTCTCGACTAAATTATGCTGGTAAACATAACGAGCTTGCTTTACTCTGGATGCCAGGTCACTCGGGAGTACCTGGTAATGAGACATCTGATTATTTGGCCACAGTTGGTTTAGACCAGGCATTCCTCGATCCTCAACCAGTGACAGTAGTCCCCACTTTGGCCATCGAGGCCACCATCAGAAACTGGGTGAATACTTCGCTCATGCAGGTGGGCAAAACTCATGTTGCCTTCAATCTAGAAAGGTCTATCTCGTTTTTTGCTCTCACTGAGCAGACTGGAGCGATATAAATGAAAACGGTGCCATGCACACAAATAAACTATTTTACAAATACGCCATATGAAAATTCATGAGTAAGCCGGACATGTGAGGAGTTTAAGGTGAAGATAATGCAAATAACGCTAGCTCTCGGAGTGCTCTTAAAAAATATAACTCCTCAGAACGAGAGAGTACTTTAAGTTTACGAGGTCTGTTTCTAAAACTTAGTTTTGGAACCCACCCGCGATGCGTATTAAAATCGTTTTGTATGATCTTCACATTTTTTGACGAACTTTGGGAGTATGTTAAAAATGTTGCAGCACAGGGTCCACTGAAACCAGTAAAGTTTTGAAAAGGGTCTACGAGAAAAAAGTTAGGGAACCTCTGATATAGATATATACATTTTCAACCCTGAGCACATTAACTTTGTTCGCATAACGGTTGTTTACAAGAGCCTAAAGAAAGCGTTACACGGAAAGATTTTCTAGTAGTTTTTTGTCGTTCAACCAAAATCTATCCGTTTAAATGGCAATTCAACCGGCCATAGTGGACAAAAATCGACTGAGACGAAGTCGTCAGCAAAGCGAAGTAACCTTGAAATATGTAGGTGGTATATTCGAATTTAAATTGTGATTAAATTTTGCGCTTGTTGAAATATTTGGCAATTTTTACCAGTTTTTGTTTTTAAATACAACATGAATTATACATACATACAACACGATTAAAAGCAATTTATCATTTTTCATTTGGTAAAACAGCTTAAGCATTGTTGTTTCCATTTTTCCTAACAAACAAATTGTGGCACAAAGCTCAATAACATTATTGAAATAAATATGCATACGCCACAACAAAAATTGACAAATAAATATATGGGATGAGCCTGCCCTGAAAACTATGCAATGAATCTATTTCATGTATTGAATTAACAATAACAACCACGCTGTCAAGCTTTAATAGCAGCGAATCAGCTGCACTTGATATTAGTATATTGAATAAGGAAATGGATTAGCAACAAAAGCTTACGGGGTGTGCATAGCTCAGTTGTTAGCGCTTCTGTCTTTGCACATCGATGACGCGGGTTCGATCCTTGCTGAAAGTCTAGAAAAAAGAAGTCTGTTGTTGTTGTTGTAGCAGCATACAAATTCCCCAAAGACTTTTTGGGGAGTGTTGCTGGAGTGACAGTCCTTGGCCAGATATAAATCTGGGTCGTTCCGGTTACGTAGACCCGACTGTCGTTGAGGAGATGTGGTGATCTCCGAAATAGCTGCTGTAACTTCTACCGCTTAAGCGTTGTTGTTTTTTTGCATTTTTCCTAGCAAACAAATCGTGGTACAAAGCTCAATAATACTATTGAAAAAAAATTTATTTGCAGCAAGCGACTTTTGTCGATTGGTATAAATGCTTTGCGTAGTCGATATTCTAGTTTATTTTCCAGTCGAAAAAAAACGACCCGCGTAAATGCAGGTTAAGGGCGCTGTTACGCAGTGATCATGTGGTCCCTGGTCACCAATTGTTGTTGCTGGATTGCATGACCAATCGGTTCAAATTTGACCAGCCCACTGAAGCCGAATCACTGATCAAAAAAAGGTTGGCTTGTGAATGCAAATTACTATTTGTTCCTTTTAGTAGCGATGGATGGATTATTATTCATACTATTTCATCTCTTAGTAGCAGAATGGTACAATTTTGCTGTAGGTGTGTACAAAGAAGCACGGTTGCTGTAATCCATCAAAGACTCGATTTTGCTACGAATCGTAAAATTGGTATGCTGAAATCCGCGTTGATGTATCGTAATTTCGAAATTCGTAGGCCATCTTCGAAATTCGTAATGATGGTATACCTGAATCCGACGTAATTTTTATGTATTTGTCGGAAATTTTGTACGAATAGCATCTCGTGTCGGAGCAACACAAATTGTTTTAAAATATCAATAAAATAAACTGTGTAAACGCAACTGTGTGAATAGTAAAAACATTAATTATTAAACTAGCAGACCCGGCGAACTTCGTCCCGCCAAAAATAATAATTTTTTTTTTATTGAAACATTTTGGTCCAACATTTTCACCAACAATTCACGTGCATAACTTCCAATGATGCATTTACATATCTGGTAATACTACGGTTTGGTGGTTGTCAGAATGCATATTTCCAGTGCAGTCTTAAATAACCCAGCAAAAGTGTATGTTCATGAAGAAGGCTTTGAAATTCTCCAATGATCTGGCGTTTCACAGCGCGGTTAACTGCTCAGCAAAATAAAATTGAAGAACTTTTTTCTCTTCACTCCCTGGCGGCAACAATTATCCGGTTCGATGGTGAATCCGTCCTTGAAACTGTGTAGTATAGTTGGTGGGTGAGTATCGTTGTTCTACAGAAATCCTATATACATAGACTTATTTCAGACGAAATACCTTAAATGTCTTATTAAGGAGGGCAATGGTTCTGATGGTTGATTTAACGGTGTTCATTTGAGATTGACCCCTGGGCAACTCAATCCTGTTCGTCTCCGAATGAAGCTTTAACACACAGTAATATTGGCAATTCACGTCCATTGGGCCAATCGGAACACACGGGTCTTCGACATACTCCGCAGTACAGCACGTCAATGTAATCGGACATTCATGGCACTTTTCCTCACATATTTAGTAATAACTCCATTTCAGCGCCACCCGGTGGCTTTCTTTTGTCAAATTGGGTTACAAATACGAATTTTAGTAAAAACTCGACTCCAGAGCAACTTGGCGGGCAAATTTTTTCGCAAAAATATTTCCCATTGCGATACCAATACATATTTCAAATATAAGCCAGATCGGATCATATGTGTCATTTTTAGTAACAACTCGAGTCCAGCGCCACTTGGCGGGTCAAACTGTGAATCTAACAATCCAGAGACCCAATCAAACACAAAATTTCGTTAAAATCGGTTCACTCACAAACACACGTACAGAAAAATTATATACACATACAAAGATACGTAATAGTTTCAGTATGTTTGAAACGCGCCACGCCCCTTTTTCAAATCGCCCTAATTTTTTCTACGAGTATGGGATTGATTTCAAGTGTCACCATACCAGGTTCGATTACTCTACCATGAATACTTCCAGAGATATGCAGTATAAAAATTTGCACAGTCATCGACTAACTCTTAAACTATTCGGATGTGTATTCATACAAGTGTTCTTAGCTCGCGTAATAACGAATACTAAATAACCCGTTGTCATGTTTTCGCGTTTGTTCACTTTAGTAGAGCCTCAGGCGATAACAATCACTTTGTAAACAAGGAAACGCTACAACATACCAACAAACAACAAAATGCCAACACAACCAGAGCCCACTAAGCCAATTTGATGACTATAACACCGATTACTCATTTCCCACACTTACACATAAACAAACACGACTTAACCAACCCAAATACATAACAATTACAGCAGCCACCAATGAACTACAAAAACTAAGCCCATTCGTAATAAAAAGAGCAATAGACGGAATATCAACTCAAAGACGGTTCACTACATATACTAACACGCAACTCAAGAATAGCAGAGAAATTCTTAAAACTAAAAGCGATTGCGAATCTTCGTCAAGTCACGGTAAAATACCAAGACAATTTAAACACGGTAAAAGGAGTAATCTATGCTCCTCGTCTAAACTATGTAAACGAGGAAGGAATCATGCAGGAACTAAAAAGCCAAGGTGTAACGAGTATATACAAATTCACTCGCATGACTGAGGGCAAAGTTGTTCCCACTGGCAAAATTGTCCTATCTTTTGACCTCTATCACCTACCCAAAGTCATTGATATTGCTTGGTATAATGTCAAAGTTTTTCCATATTATCCCACACCCATGCGCTGCAAAAATTGCCAGCTACTAGGGCATACCAAAACACGCTGCACCAGTCCTACCACATGCGAGGGCTGCAATCTTCCACCCCATTCTCCAGCTGACTGCGCACGTAAACAATGTGCAAACAGATAAAGACTGTCCAAGATTTAAGGAGACTGAGGGAATACTAAAAATTAAAACCATCGCTAAATACTCCATGGGAGAAGCACGGCGCAAATGCAACGAAAA